CATCCATCATCCATCCATCCATCATCCATCCATCCATCCATCCATCATCCATCCATCATCCATCCATCATCCATCCATCCATCATCCATCCATCCATCATCCATCCATCCTCCATCCATCCATCCATCATCCATCCAGATCCTGCTCCATCCCTCCATCCATCCCTCCATTCAGGCTTCGTTAGAATTAGCTGGAATTAGCTGTCCTGAAACACAACCAGCATTCAGGTGATGAACACCAATGGTCTGACATCACCCAGGAATGGTGCTCCCCATTTTGGGACAGGACGTTGAATCTAGTTCAGATTCCAAGGAGATTAAGGTCAGGGGAATCCTGTTCACTCCATTGGCATCTGCCAGGATGTTCCTCTGGCAGCACCATCCATCTCCACTCAAGTCCAAGCTCAGGTGTCAGGCTTTTGGGGTCTCTGAAGCCTGTGGGGTCCATCTGTGCTCTGGTAAAGGGACAGCAGCTTCCCCTGCCCTCAGCTGAACTTCCAGAGCCCACAGACCTACCCTCTCACCCCACAGCAGCAGAGATGTGCCCAGATTGATAACCCAGATCTTCTCCAGCACCTGTTTGAGCAGGATTTTGGGAAAGCTCTTCCCAGCTCAGGCCAGCCCCTCTGGACTCGTGATTGCCCCGATAAGGGGGTTTGTCGGGCCCTGACAGGATATTGGCTCAGTGTCCACACACGGCACTCAGCCGTGGGAGTCCTGTTCAAACACCGTCTTTTTGTGTCAGACATTTCCAAATTCCGTTCCCACTCCCCCGCCACCCCCTGCCTGGGTTTATACATCAACCAGTGCCTGGAGTCCTTATCACGCCGAAGGGCTCTCCTCACCCTGGAGGGCCATTGTGTGAGTTTTTAAGTCATGACTCCCAGATATTGAGCAGGGCCGGTTTGGCTAGTTCTGGGCAAACAGGCTCCGCACTTGATTGGCATTTAAACACAGCAGGTAAGAGTTCAGGCCTCTCTGATATGTGCTGTGAGCAGCAGCGTGCTCAGCTGAGCAGGACAGGAGCACCATCTCCCCAGGAGAGCCAAACCCAGCACCTGCAAGGGACTCGTACCCCCAAAACCCCACAAAAGACTTTTTGGGGTTTGTCCTGCTCATCCTGCCCTGGCCAGGTGATGCCTCCCACCACCCCAGGCACTCACACAGTCCAGCTTGCTCTTCTTCCACAGGTAGAAGGGGTCAGCCAGCTGCTTGAGGGAGTTTTTCAGGTTCACGGCGATGAGGGCTCCCAGCACAGACTGTGGAGGACAGGGAATGGGGTCAGGATGTGCCACGTTTGGCAGTGGATGCTTTCCTGCAGCCTCTGCCTGCCTTGGGCCAGTCCCATCACAAAGGGGATGCTCACAAAGATCTCACTTGGACCTGAGCAGGGTCATTTGGGTGATTCTTTCACTAAAATTTAGATTTGCTCAGAGAAATTGTGGCTGCCCCATCTTTGCCCAAGGCCAGCTTGGACAGGGCTCGGAGCAACCTGGAATAGTGAAAGGTATCAGGGTGAGGTTTGAGGTGAATAGTGAAAGGCAGGGGTGAGGTTTGAGGTCCCTTCCATCCCAAACCAGCCTGGAATTGTGTGATTCTGTGATTGCAGACAACCTGGAACAGTGAAAGGTATCACTGCCCATGGCAGGAGTGAGGTTTAAGGTCCTTTCCAACCCAATCCAGCCTGGAATTGTGTGATTCTGTGACTGCAGACAGCCTGGAATACTGAAAGGTATCACTGCCCATGGCAGGAATGAGGTTTAAGGTCCTTTCCAACCCAATCCAGCCTGGAATTGTGTGATTCTGTGACTGCAGACAGGTCCCCAGGCCAAGAACAAACCGTCCCGTGCTGCCGTTCGCATCGGGGTTTTTTGGAGCGAGGCTGTGCCCGTGTTTGGATGTGGAGAGCGGGTGTTGCAATGGCTCTGCCTGCACAGATGTTTGAGTTACCTTTGGAAGAGGCTCCAGGTAGATTCCCAGGGACAGCATCGTCACCATGACCACCAGAGCCACAAAGAAACTTGCCACCTGCAAAGAGGAAAGAGAGTCACTTCTGCAAATATCAGGGCTTCCCAAACCTTGCCTGGGTGTAGCCAGGGGCACGACTGGGCACTGCAGCGTTTTATGGGAGAGGATGTTTGCCTCTGAAAACAGGCAGGGGTTTGCAGATCTCACAGATAACCCTGAACTCCCCTCGCTGCTCGGGAGCCAGAGTGGGAGTGCAGATCGACAGCTCTGCTGCTGTGCCCAGCCCAGAGAGCCAAACCAGGGACCAAAACGGGCTTGGGGAGGGAGGAAATTCTGCTGTAACAGCAGCAGCCTGAAGCACTTGTGTGTGAGACCTCTCCAGAGCTGCACAGTCAGGCTGGCAGCACGCGGCAGCTACAGCACCTTGTGCTCCAGAGGGAATGTGGAGAGGAGGAGGAGGAAGAGGAGGAGGAAGAGGAGGAGGACGAAGAGGAGGAACTAACTTGGGATTTCGCTCCTGCCCCATCCACGGCAAGGGTGACAGAGAGAGCACAGCAGATCACGTGGATTTTGAAGAAGGATCCAAAGAAGTTGCTGCAGCCCAGGGCCAGCATTTCCTGTGGAGATGTGGAGAGTGTCCATCAGAAAGGACAGCTGCCCTTCCTGCTGACACACGGCAACAGGGCAGGGCTCTGAGTCCGGTTTGTGTGGCCAGGGCAGGCTCTGGCTTCCCTGCAGTGCATCCCAGACTCTTTCCTTCCAGTAAGGTCTGGGATAAGCTCTGGTGCAGCAGGGAAACCTGGAAGCACAATTCCACATAAACACATTGTCATCTGTTGACACACTCAGGGCAGGGCTCCATGTGGTATGTGTGGCTGCTGTTGAAAGCTGCCACTGTGCCAGGGATGACAAAAGAGGATTATTTCATGTCCTGCCTCTCACAGTATCCAGGTGACACACCAGGAATCCAGGTCTTTCTCTGCTCCCTGAGACATGCACGCACCTCACCGTGCTTCAGCGGGCTGCCAAAACACTGAGTCTGGAGCGGGAGCAAGGCAGAGAGCCCAGCCTAAAGCTCCTTTCCCTTTTCCAGCCTCTCTCCAGCCCACGGGACGGGGCTCTGCCGCCTCCTTTCGCCCCCCACATGGCACAAAGCCACGGAGCCTCCGCGGGAGCAGCACGTCCGCTTTGAGCCGAGCACGTCTGAGCTCTTCCCTTCACGCCTGAGAGCAAAGGGAGCAGCCCCTGGCTGCCCCAGCCCCAGCAATACCTGGTTGGGGTCCACGTCGTAGCCGTGCTTGGCTGCCAGGGTCCTCCCCATGGCCAGGTTGATCACGTAGCCCACGATGGCCAGCGAGAAAGCCGTGCCCACCATGTCCTTCCACTTGCTCACCAGGGGCAGCGTGGGCTCTGGGAACCTGCACTCAGAGCAAAGGTGAGGAGCTGTGACAGCGCTGCCCAGGGGCTGGGGCGGTGGGACAGGGAGCTGGAGGATTCAGGAGTGACAGAATCCGCGCCCACACTCCAGGGGATTGTGTCACAGGGAGCACTCACTCCTGGAAGGGGATTCTGGTGCAGCAGGGAAGAGTGAGGTGTTTTCCAGGCTGCAGGAGGAGGAGGAGGAAGGAAAACCGTCTGGAAGGTGAATCAGACCTGCACAAGCACTTACCCCATGCTGATCTTCCCCACTATTGGCATCCCGTACTTGTCGGGCATGTTGAAGCTGCCGGAGACCGCGGTGGCAACGATCACCTGAAGGGACAGGGAATAAAGAGCAGGAAGAGCTGAGCTGGCCTGGAGCATTAACCCTGCTGAGCTGAGAGAGTATAACCAGCACCGAGTTTGGGCTGGGGAAGGCCAGAACAGTCCCAGAACAACAGGGGTTGTGTTCTTCACCCTCAGCATCACCAGGCTGCAGCGCAGGGATGAGCACGGGCATGGCCCAGGTTCTGACCCCAAACCACGCGTCACATTCCCCATGCAGATGCTCTGTGTGGTGTCCTGGGGTGAGGGGAGGGTCCAGGGACAGCCCAGGTGTCACTTACGATGATGATCTCCATCGGGATGGGCATCCGGATCTTCTTCATGTACTTGAGGTTGAGCTCCTTGACAACGATCAGGAGCACAGCACTGGCCAAGGCGTAGACCAGGGAGGCCAGGTTGGTTTGGGGCAGACCTTTACAGATGTCAATGAATGTCTGGAGGGGAGAGAAGAGGGGAAGGGGTCACAGGAAGCCTGGACAGCAGGGACAGAATAACGGACAGCACTTGCTACCACAATCAACACTCTGTGAGCAGAGCTAAAAACCCTCTGCTGAGGGATCAGCCCCCAGCCCTGGGCCTGTGCTGCTGATTTGATGCAATTCTGGCTGCATCAGCACAGGATGCATCCACAGAAGATGCAGGAAATCCCAGGAATGGCCAAACCTGCTCAGAGGAAACGTTCCTGTTGCTACCAGCTCTGCAAGACTCTTGCTGTAAAGCACCACAGCTCATATCCCCCACCAGATCCCACTCCCATCTCACGATTCCTCATTAAAACCACGCGGACAGGGCTCAGATAACGCTGGGCAGGGAGCACAGCAGCAGCCTGGCTGTGCTGGGGCAGGGATTCCCCTTCCCTCCACCCTTTCCTGGTCTCCTGGGCCCCGTTTCCCCGGCAGGGTGGCGGTGCTGGGGGGGAAGGTCGCTGTGCAGAGCCCCCACTTACGTAGACGATAGCTAAGGGCCCGGTGTAAGACGGGACCGTCAAGCCGAAGACGTACTTGAGCACGGAGATGAGGATCTGCAGCCCCGCCGCCGTCATGAAGCCCCTGATGAAGGACTCGGACAGGTAGATGGCCACGAAGCCGAACTGCAGGAAGCCCAGGCACAGCTAGGGTGGCACAGAGGAGCGGTGGTCAGAGCAGTGCCAGCCCCGAGGGGGCTCTCCCATGGCTCTCCCACCCATGGCAGGGGTGTCCCGCAGCAGGGATGGGGACAGGAGGGCTGAGGGTGCCATTCCTGGATTGCCCACATGGAGAATTCCACCCCAAGACTAAAAAAATCTCTATTTTGAGGCATCATCCACCCAGAAGCGAGGCCTCTTCGAGCACCTGCCAGCAACACCTGTGCTCCAGGGAGAGCTTGGCTCTCACGTGGCTCAGGGACACAGCAGAGCCCTCACCTGTATGACGGCTGTCAGGCAGGCCAGGGTGGCTGAGATCTCCAGCCTGGCCGCCTCCAGGGCCCTGGTGTTGACACTGGTCTCGTTGGTGGTGTGGTTGAAGTACTGGAAGTCCGACTCCGGGGCCAGCTCGTTGCAGACGTTGCCAACAATGATGCTGATGACAGCAAAAGTCCCTGCGGGCAGCACAGGGAGGTCAGGAGCTCCCTCTGGGGAGAGCCCTGGCCTGGACGGCTCCTGGGCTGTGCAGAACGAGTCCCTCAGCCCGTCCCCAGCCCCACAGGGACATTGGGGTGACATCCTGCAGAATCAGCGATCCCACAAAGAGCCAACGTCCCGTTCTGGGACACACCAGCATTCCCAGCCAGCATTTCACTGCCCTGTGCAGACAATTCCTCACCTGGCACCATCTGATGGATGCCCCCAAGGAAGAAGTAGGGGAGCAGGGGGAAGAAGGAGGAGTAGAGCCCGTTGACAGGAGGCAGATTGGCCAGGAGGGCGAAGGCCATCCCTGCAAAACACGAGGGACACGGGCAGGGAATTCCAGAGACCGCCAGGCTGGAGGCAGAGCTTGGGGTGATCAGGAAAACACAAAACCCGTCCCAGCTGGGCATCAGCATCACCTGCAGCGCTTCAGCCCAGCTGGCGAGGTGTTATTTGCTCTTGGACACCCCGAGAGTGCCGCTGCTCACCTTGTGGCACTTGGATTGTCCCCGCGCTGAGCCCGCCGAGCACATCGGGCAGGATGTAATCCTTGATTTTGTACTTGGGAAGCCAGGCCAGTATTGGGAACAGGCAGAAGAGGGTGAGCTTGAACCTGGAGGCTGAACATCTGGAAGAGATATAAAAAATAAAAGCAAAGAAGCAAATGAAACAAGGAAGGATCTTCCCGGGAATGTCTCAACCTTTCTCCCTCGCCAGATTCAGAGCCCTCTCTTTCCTCTTATTTCCTATTATTGCCTTCCTTTTTCTGAGGAATGGAGATAGATTTCCAGGAAAGTGATCAGCAGGGTTATTAACCTTTATTTGCATAATTATAAACCTTTCATTAAGGTGGTGTTGGTTTCAGTCAGAAAGCTGAGAAAAAGAAATCCCAGCTGGAAAGCTTAAAAAAAATAATCTGCACATCCCTACATCACCAACTGTGCTTTTTCCACTATTAAAAAAAAGAAACCTTGGAAAACAGGATCCCAAATCCCAGCTGCACTCAGTGCAAACTGTTCTGCTGAGGAAAGAGTCACCAATTTCATTTTCTTCATCCCAATTTGCATTTCTCCCATGCCTTTCATCCATCAAATCCCCGAAGATCTGGTTCCCCAGGATAAAAATGGGATCTGTATTCCCAGAACTCAATTATAACCCCCCAATTCCCTGGTTTATGTCTAAACCTGGTTTAAACTAAACCTGGTTTATGTCCTACAGCGTTCCCTGGTACCTGAAAAGGTTTCTCAGTTTCTCCCCGACGGGATAAGTTCTGGTTTTCTTCTCAAACTCCTCGTCGAAGAGGCTGACGGAGTAGGCAGGACGCTCAATGGCATAGCGAGGCCTGGCCTGGCTCATCTCTGGATCATTTGGATTTTTCCCAAAATAAATAATAATAAAAAAAAAAAATTAAAAAAAAATAATAGAAACAGCAAAGCCAAGAATGTGGCTGGAGTTGGCCCCACCTGCGGTATAACAGAGCGGACACCTCCAGCGTCTGGAGCCCTCCCCGAGCTTCTCCACCCTAAATAGTTTCCCCGTGGCGGAGAGGCAGGTCCTGGGAGTGGCTTCTCCCAGCTCCAGGGGCTGCTGCAGCTCCCCGGGAGCTTTCCCAGCTCTTCCGAGGTGATGCTGCTAATGAGCGATGCTAATAAGCGATGCTAATGAGCGGTGCGAAGGGGCCCGGATTGCCTGGCAGGCGGGCAGGGGGGTTAATCCCGGCTCCGGGAGTGCCTTTTAGCCTCGGGCGAGGCACTTGACCTTTCCCATGCCCCGGTTTCACCGTCCGTGGGGCTGGCAAGGCTCTGCCAGGCTGGGAAAGGTGGTTGATACTGGGATGAAGGGCTGGATCCCATGGCAGCTGCTCCTGCCGCAATTCCCAGCCTGTCCAGCATCCCACAGCATTCCCAGCCTGTCCAGCATCCCACAGCATTCCCAGCCTGTCCAGCATCCACAGCATTCCCAGCCTGTCCAGCATCCCTCAGCATTCCCAGCCTGTCCAGCATCCACAGCATTCCCAGCCTGTCCAGCATCCCACAGCATTCCCAGCCTGTCCAGCATCCACAGCATTCCCAGCCTGTCCAGCATCCCTCAGCATTCCCAGCCTGTCCAGCATCCCACAGCATTCCCAATCCTCGCTGGCCGCGGGTGAGAGCCCGGTTCCTCTAGGAAGTGATGCTCGGGGAGATAACTGTTGCTAACTCACGGCAGTGATGAAGATGCCAAAACATCCCGGCAGACCAGTCCTGCCCGGTATCTGGGTCTCACCAGAGGGATGATGAGCTCCCTTTTTTTACCGTGCCCAGAGATGCCTGGGGAGAGGGGAGAATCACCCCGAACTGGCCGGGCTGGGAGGGGAGGGAGGAAGTGGTCAGATATAAAATGAGGATCTCGGTAATTATTTGTGTTTTGGCGTGTATCTAAGTGGGTCATTGCCCAACACAGGAGGAGAAGAGGGGGTGGAAAAAGACGGTGATTCAGGCAGGAGAATGTATCCAGAAACAACATTCAGGTTGCTGAGAGCTTACGGAGTGATCTGAACGTGCCAGAACCTCCCCTCCCCTCTCCGGGCGCTGCTGAAAGTCAGGGCACACCTTGACATCGAGTCTGGGACGAGCAAAATGTCCTTCCACAGGGCTGGAGAGAGCCCTGGCTGACACCTTGGGGTGGAGGAGAGCAGGAGATTGTAGCAGAGCAGGGCAGGAAGGAAAGGATGATGCAGGGAGCCGAAACTTTGGGGAGAATTTAGGTCAGCAGAATCATTATGCAAATAGCAGCTAATGGGTCGAGAAAGGGAGGTCATCAACCCCACTCCTTTAGAGATCACAGGGGCCATCTGGAGCACTCTGCTGTAAAACTGCCCCGGCCCTGGGCTGTTTGTGATTCCAGCTCTGATCTGCACACTCGGGGCTCGGGAGGGACCCCAGCCCACGGCTTTGGAGCAGAGAGGAGACCCATCCCTCTTCCTGCAGTGCCAGGTGCCTGACCCAGTGCCCAGGGCATCCCTGCTGCTCCTTTTCCCCTGGAGATTCCCCTCCGAGAGCAAGGACGAGATTTGCCTTCGGATCACGGAACTGATCCGTGTCCTGGGCTCTTCCCTGATGGTTTTCCCACATTTCCCGTGTTCCCGAGGCTGTCCCCAGCCTTTCTCCCAGCCCCACAGCTCTGCTTGGAATTTCCAGTTCTCCCTGGTGAGTATTTTGTAGGTCCAGACTCAGCAACAGCTTCTGAGAGCTGATGAACCCACCCGAGTTCCTGGTGGTCTCTCTGATCTCCATCCTTCTGCCACCAATTAAATCCCAGCTCTTTAATGAATTTTCCCAGCTGAGAGAAAGTGCTGGCGATCAGGAAAAAATAATAAACAGAGCAGGTATAGAGGAGAAAATATCCCCACGATTAAATTCCGTCTTAAACAAACAGGCTTGTGATGTCAGCGTCTCGGACAGAGTCAAGTTCTTGACTTGGCTTATCACGGCCTTGCCCTAGATCAAACAGCAGCTTAAACCTCTGAGATTTGGGAATTAAAGAGCACGAGGAGCTGCATGGCTGCTCCTTGAACAAAAGGCAAAGCCAGCTGGCCCGGTGCTGGTGGGGTGAGCCCACGGCAAGCTGCAGAGCTGGTTTAAACCCTGCAGCTGGGGCAGGAGCCCGGAGCAATTCCCGAGTGAGGAGGGGAGAGCAGAGTGCCAGCCAGCTGCTGCATTGCTGGGACCAGGTTCTTCAACATCTCTCTTCCAGTGTGAGCATGGAAATAAGGGACAGGATCTGGGAGAGGAGCTCCAGGTGCTCACAGGTTTTCAGGCAGCCCATTCCTGCAGTGGGTGATGCTCTGAAATGTTCAATTTGACCTCGCTGAGTACACAAATGGGATGTGATACTCGGAGCACCTGAGAGCAGAACTGCCCTGCTCCAGCAAGGTGATGTGGGTGACCAGTGTTGTCCCAGCAGGTCACGAGTGTCCCCTCAGTCCAGACCTGGCTGATCCCAGCCCTGCCAGTCCCAAACCAGGCTGTGCACGCCAGGCACGGACCTTTTCTCCCAGAGTTCGTCCTGCAAACAGCCTCACTGAGCTCTTATCTGCTGTCCCCGTGCTGGTGATAGCTGTGCTTGGGAAGAGGAAAGTCACATTGAGGTTCCTGGCTGCGGTTGATAGGAGCCACTGGCACAAAGCCACTTTCCTGCGCTGACATAGGCACAGAACAGGAGCTCCAGTCCAAGGAATGAGTCAAAATTTGGTGAGAGAGCCATCTGATCCCTGCCTTAGGCATGATACACGGCCCCAGACTGATCCCAAACTGGATTCAAGGAATGAATGTCCCATTCGACCAGCTGCTTCTTAATTTTAGGGATTAAAAATCAGTGCTCTTGAGTGAAATAACGCTTCCACCTTTGCCTGCCCCTCTCCATCCCCATTCCTCTTGTGCAAGGCACACCCAGCCCTGTGTGCTGTTTGCTTCAGCACTGGGTTCAGAGGTCCAACCTCTTCCCAATCCCGTGTGAATCTCCATCCAAAACACCCCCTCCCGGCCCCATTGCCCAAGAAAGGGCCATAAAAGCAGCTCCCCCCAATCCCCCGGACCAGGAGAACACAGGCACAGGTGCAAGGGTTTGGTTGCAACACCAGGACAAGGTCTTGACTCCCGTGGCCCTGGACCGGAGCCTTCAGCGCCGCGTCGGCCCGGCTGCGGCTGCAGGTGCCACAGCAGCCCTGGGGCAACGCGGTGAAAGGGCCCAGCTCCTGCAAGGTCAGCAGGGGAAGCCACCAGGTCCTCCCTGAGACCTGCGTGGCACGGGCGCAGGCCTCGTGGTGCCAGGTGTGGCGGTGCCAGGTGTGGCGGTGCCAGGTGTGGCGGTGCCAGACATGGCAGTGTCAGGTGTGGAGGTGCCAGATATGGCAGTGCCAGATGTGGCGGTGCCAGATGTGGCCATGCCAGCTGTGGAGGTTCCAGGCGTGGCGGTGCCAGGTGTGACAGTGCCAGATATGGCAGTGCCAGATATGGCCGTGCCAGGTGTGGCCGTGCCAGGTGTGAAGGTTCCAGGTGTGGCCGTGCCAGGTGTGGCCGTGCCAGGTGTGGCCGTGCCAGGTGTGGCCGTGCCAGGTGTGAAGGTGCCAGCTATGGCAGTGCCAGATGTGGCGGTGCCAGCTGTGAAGGTGC